ATACACAAAGGGAAAACCAAGGTCCTCAAACACAACACGGAGAACAGCAATCCAATCACTCTTGATGGCGAAACTCTGGAAGACGTGGAATCCTTCACATACCTGGGAAGCATCGTCGATAAACAAGGAGGTTCAGATGCAGACGTCAAGGCGAGGATTGGCAAAGCTAGAGCGGCATTCCTTCAACTGAAGAACATATGGAACTCAAAACAACTTTCAACCAATATCAAAGTCACAATCTTCAATACCAACGTCAAGACAGTTCTACTGTACGGAGCTGAAACTTGGAGAACTACAACAACCACCATCAAGAATGTACAGGTATTTATTAATAGCTGTCTACGCATGATACTCAACATCCATTGGCCGGATACCATCAGCAACAGCTTTTTATGGGAGAGAACCAACCAGCTTCCAGCTGAATAGGAAATTAGGAAAAGACGATTGAAATGTATAGGACATACATTGAGGAAATCATCAAACTGCATTACGAGACAAGCGCTAACTTGGTATCCTGAAGGGAAGCGGAAAAGAGGAAGGCCAAAGAACACATTACGTCGGGAAATAGAAGCAGATATGAAAAGGATGAATAAGAACTGGAAAGAGCTTGAAAGGATTGGTTGGGACAGGGTTGGATGGAGAATGCTGGTGAGCGGCCTATGCTCCTTCACGAGGAGTAACAGGCGTAAGTAAGTAAGTAAGTTATAAGGCTTGTGACCTAACACAATATCGAGCCAATCCGCACAGGATGTACATATGCCAACAAGTGACTGATTAATCGCAGTTTTAAATAACAATAGGAAGATACAAGTAAACACCAAGTGAATTTAATAGTTAAGCATATATATATATATATATATATATATATATATATATATATATATATATATATATATAATGGTTCATAGATAGATTCTAGTGGTTACTATTCACTTACTTACGCCTGTTACTCCTGATGGATCATAGGCTGCCGACCAGTATTCTCCAACCTACTCTGCTCTACACCTTCTTTTCTAGTTCCATCCAATTCTTGTTCATTTTTCTCATGTCTATCCACATTTCCCGGCGTAATGTGTTCTTTGGTCTTCCTCACTTCATTCGACCTTGAGGATTCCATGTGAGGGCTTATCTTGTGACGCAGTTCGGTGATTTCCTCAATGTGTGTTCTATCCACTTGCAACGCTTCTTCCTGATTTCTTCCTCCACTGGAATCTGATTTGTTCTCTCCTACAGTAGGTTGTTGCTAATAGTTTCCGGCTAACGGATTACAAGTATTTTGTGTAGATAACTGTTAATAAACATTTGTATCTTCTGGATGATGGATTTCGTGGTTTTCCAGGTTTCCGCTCCATGCAATAGAACTGTCTTAACATTTGTATTGAAAATCCTGACTTTGGTGTTGGTTAACAATTGTTTTGAGTTCCAGACGTTCTTCAGTTGTAAATATGCTGCTCTTGCTTTACCGATCCGTGCCTTCACATGCGCATCAGATTCACCGTGTTGATCAATGATGCTGCCTAGTTATGTGATTGTTTTTACATCTTCCGAAGCTTCTCCATCAAGTGTGATTGGATTGGTTCATGTTGTGTTGTATTAGAGAATCTTGATTTTCCCTATGTGTACGTTGAGACCTACTGCTTCTTGACTGCTGCTACACTGGTTGTCTTCTCCTGCATTTGTTCTTGTGGTTACGATAGAGGAGCCAGATCATCTGCGAAGTCTAAATCGTCCAACTTCATCTTAGATGTCCACTGTATTCCATGCTTCCATTCAAATGTAGACGTCTTCATGATCCAGTCAACCACCGTCTAATAAGATTTGTTGAAGTTAAATATTAACACCGTGTCATGTTGGCCTAATGGACCAGAATTTAAGAGTTCATGCACTTGCCTGAAGGTTTTGAATCCGAATCCAACATGCATAATTGTGAATGCACACTGCTAAGGAGTTTCTCACATAGACAAAACCGAATCTCAATGCTTGATTAGTAATTTTATACTAAACTTTTCACTTGATAATCTATTTTTTTATGTTTATAGTATATGACTATATGCATGTAACAGATAAATCTTATACTACCTAGTTCATTCAATCAATAAAGTTTTATCACTTTATTATCAGTAAAATCAATACAAAACTCCAAGGCTATTGTTTAACAATTTTGTATTGATAATCATCAAAGAAAATGTATTTTATGTCAATATTTCAAAAATTATAAAGAAAAACAGTAAATCTTATGAATGATACAATTGATTAATCAATAATCAATTAACCAATCCAATGATTGTTTTATACCTTGAATACTGATTGGATTCTATTGATGATATTAAGTCAATTTAAAAAGAAAAGAAAAGAAAAAAAAAATCACTCCTCGAACTTTTAAGTATCAATAGGTATTTTGTGTTCTGAATATTTCAATGATTAAGATCACGAGTCAGTTGAAGCTAGACCACCATGGAAAACCTGGAAGCACTGGACGGCCGTTTCGTCCTATTATGGGACTCCTCAGCAGTGCGCATCCACGACCTCGCCCCCTGTGAGATTCGAACCCAGGACCTACTGGTTTCGCGCGCGAGCACTCAACCACTAGACCACTGAGCCGGCTGGCATCCAACGGTGTTAATGTCTAACTTCAACTAATCCACGAAATTGAGCGACACATCCACCATTGTCTTCAGTGAGTTACTATCCCACAACAGACGTGGTTGAACTCCACTGGTCACTACTTCTCACTAGAACTCCAGGATATACCTCTTGAAGCCAGTCACTAGTGAGCATATGTTGATTATTATCCGAAGGGGTTTTGTGGAGATTGTAGTAATTTCAATGATTAAGATCATGAATATTATTATTATATTATTATTATTTACTTTAGTAGACCCTGGCAACAGGGTCGTAAATGAACACCTTTTTTAGGAGTTTGGGACTAGGAGGAAACACTTATTTAATACTTCTTCATTTTCATTGATTATTTATTATGTATAACATTGTAATATCTTCATAAATCTATTTAATAATCCGTTTACTGACAATTTGAATTGTTGTAGTAGCTTTATTTTGTTAAACAGTCACTCATGTAACCATTATTACATAAATTTCAATAGTTTTTGAAATCAGAAGATAATGAGAAGTAACAACTACATTTTTATTAGCGAATAGACCAAATCACAAAGCTATTAGCACATTGAGTGAATTTGAAATTGATTAGTCTTGCAATTTGAATGCTATACTCGGTTCCAAAGCTATTCTTGAAACTCCCCAAACTAGAACTATACAGCAACCTGAACACGAGAGAGAAGGCGCAAAGTGTGCGAAAAGTACTGTACTCCAAGGTTCATTCTAATACAGAAAACAGAGGGTTTTTATAATATTCTAAATGTCCTTGGGTTGCTCGAAGATTCTGGAATGCTACTAAACATAGTAGCGGTATAACAATCAATCAATCAGAACTTCTACATGTGACGTTTCACATCCTTGATGTTTTCTGGCTAAACTCCAAGTGAACGCTGATTGGATGAAATGCTTCTTAAGGTTTCCTGATCCTTGCGTTTCTGTTGCAAGAACTTTTCTGGATCATTCCAACAGAAACAGAGAGGTGAATATGTATGTAGGAGCAAATACATAGATGAGGACGCAGCAAGTCAAAGTAAAGACTAATAATAGAATTTGAGTACATATATACATGGGGAAAAGAATGAATCATCGAGTGATATTTAACTATTCAACATTTTAGTTAGAGTCTGTCATACTCTCTAGCGATTCTAACAGTACAAAGAAATAGACGAATTGTTACTGTACAAATAACATTGTCCATTGTTAAGTAAGTTAATAAAAAGGGCTATAGCAATATTAACTATAATCGAAATTGATTGTAAAATAGTTGCTATACTGTTATAAATATTTTGTTCACATAAATGAACAATCAATAAAAATTTTGGTAACTGAATAGATATCAAGTATTGTGCAAAATAATGTTACCATGTTTACTCAATTTACAGATCGATAAATTATTTTACTTTACGTTACATGATTGTAGATAATTTCCAAAATGTATCATGATATCGATTCATGTAGATACAATTCAATTAACTTCATGAAGTTTTTCTTTATCATTTATTTCACATTCTTTTCGTGATGAATATTATTTTTAAAGATTTAAATGAAATTTCCGTACAATATTTAACTAAATATGTAGGATTTTTTTATCATAACTAGATCTCATTCGGGATATCATAGGAAACTAGGGAGTACTTTCATGTGGTATAGTGTATCTAATAACCTACTAGGGATCAAACCTTGGATCTTTGAGTTTTGTAGTGAACACTTATACATTATAATTAACTAGGTTGATGTCAACTTTGATCCGTTTTTAATGTAGAGCAATTACTATTCATCTATTCTAGTTAGTGCTGTTTTTTTTTAGCATAGATGTTTACTACGGAATGAGATTTCTGATCCCATGTTCAACCCTCTTCCATTACATGAGCTTGGCAGTGGTAGTAACCCTAGAAGAGTTACAACCATCATCAATAAAGTACACATATTTATAATGAATTGTCTATGCAAGATATTCAATATCCGTTGACCGGATACCATTAGAAACAACCTAATGTAGGAAAGAACAAACCAACTTTCAACTAAAGAGGAAATTAGCATGGAAGTGGATAGGACATATACTGAGGAAATTATCAGTTTTCATCATGAGGCAAGCTTTAACTTGGAATCTTTAAGGTTAACGAAAAAGTGTAAGTTCAAAAAAATTGAAAGTAGACATGAAAATGATAAATACCAACTGGAAATAACTGGAAAAGATTGTTCAAAGCAGAGTTGAATGTACAATACTGGTGGTTGGTCTATGCTCTTCCATGTGGGTTAACACGAGTAAGTAAATAAGTAACTAAAATTCATTGAACCGCCCTTCACAAAATCCCTTTTTAACTATATTTAAATGAATAATTTCCTACAAATTTTTTTTTTTAATTTTAAATTAATTTTATCAGCTCTTATGCATGCAGCTGTATTTGGTAATGTGACAACACTTATTCAACGTATGTATTCAAGACGTTCAGCATATCAAACAAAAAATCAAGATTTAAAAGATTTTACACGTGCTCATCATATACCAAAACCATTAAAACAACGTATGCTTGAATTTTTTCAAGCTATGTGGGCAATTAATCGTGGTATAGATAAAGAAGCTGTAAGTTTAATCAAACTCAAATTTTATAAGTTGAATAGATTGATAATGTTTAATCCATTTGTAATGAAACTATAGTTTATGAACAAATCAATCTTGTATAAGATAATAGGTCTTGGATCATTCATACATTTGGCTAAATAGACTTATGGTATTATATCAGCTATGTTTAAACCTATCACAAGTTTACTGAAACTGTGAACGAGAACAAAGACTCGGTGACCAAAAACCAATAAGCTAGATATTCTGATGCGTCCCAGCTCCGCTAACTAGAGGAAGAAGTCCAAGCTTGGAATGGGGAAGTATATTCTGCAAACAGCCAGAAACGAGCGATCACAACAAACACAAATAGCATACTAAAAGACGCAACGAACCTATAGCATTTAAGATATTTCCCAGTGAGAAATACAACATGAAGGTGATAAGAGCACTTTTGGCGCGTAAAGAAGGAAATTCAAATGTTCTAAATCAAATTACAAAATTAGGATTTTTCCAATTGAGTTCTGGGGATCTAACGTCCCCAACAATATCTTATTTAAGTTCGTGATGAAAACCCTAAATTTAATTCCTAACCTTAATTGTCAACTGTAAATCACAGTCCTAATTCCTCACACTTGTTTATAATGCTCATTTTGTCCTAGTTATTAAGTGGACATTCTCAAGGTCACTTGAGTGTCGCTCAAAGGTCGTCCATAAATTATGGTCTCATCGATACGTTTATCTATAGCTTAACAAGCTGACGCTATAGAGAAATAGACCAAATTCATCATTAAGTCAGTTATTCTATTTTTAACTGTTAGGATCGAATATCTTTCATCTTACATTTTGAAATTATCACAATGTATGCGTAGAAATTTCGTTTATATACATTTTACTAAACTCGGAATATCCCTATATATATGTTTAGCCCTAGTATGGATTAATTCAGAATTGAGCATTCAAGATTTTAGACTGAATAAAATCCAGATAATTCAGTAAATATAATATTATCAAGATAGTTCAGATTCCATTGTTCGAGATCTCTATACAAACTCAGTTGATCAGAAACTACATTCACTTTATATAATGAATGACTAGTTCAATCTCGTCTATGTTAAACTTCATAAGATATGGTTTATTAATAGAAATTCGAAAAAACTCATCTGAAATCTTGTCATTCTTGGATTAAAGATATATTATTGATCAAACCAGTATTGTGGATACTTTCATATAGTTTCAAGTAATTTTCACGATTACTTCATTTTAAATGGAGTACCAATGAAAACCAGACTATACGGTGAGTAGTTGCATTATTCGAATAGTTTCTGCGACACTTAAAAGCTTTGCGTTCGATCCTATGTTAATCTATGGATTCATACTGCTGGGAAGTCAAAAAAACTAAGAGCAAACAACTGACTAGTTAACAAAGATTTCTAATGGAAACTTGACTGTACTCATTCAGTGATTAAAATGTCCCCTTGTTATATATTATATGACCGCCGAGTAGAGAGCAGTGAATTTCGATCGGACCAAGAACACGTAAAACATGTACAAGCGGCCCAGAGTTCTGATTGACCCTGCTTTCCACCTAACCCTACCAGTTAACTCCACAACACCAATCTCAGCCTCTGCAATATGAATCTTATATTTCAAACATACTGAGTTTATATATCAATCAAACAGACCACATCGTACCAATAAAATGGAAAATAACATTTGTACAAGATTTGGCCAAATGTGGCTGTGAATGTGGGAGGCAGTGACTAATTAACAGGGCATAATTCAACAATGGTAAAACATATGATAATGATTCATAAATCAAAATAAAGCTTATAATAAGAGGAACACGAATATGAATAGTTTAGTTATATTAACAATTATACGATAAAACATATACGTTTCGTATTTGTCCATAAATGGATTCCGACAGTTACCATTCATTATTCTTGTCGGAACATAGTACCCCTCAAACAATTACTCACTATAGAAGCAGTTTATAGTAAGTCGTAAAAATACAAAAAAAAAAAAATAATAATTTTAATTTTCTACTCATTGATTGATGACAAATATCTTATGCTTTTCAATGATAAACAATAAGTAATCGTTCTTTTTTTTTTTTGTTTTTCTCTCAATAATCTATTATTTCATTGGATAATATAGATTTTACAATCATTCCCTGAAAATTTACGCGGTGATATTGCATTACATTTAAATCGTGAAATATTATCATTGAGTTTATTTAAAAGTGCTAGTCCTGGTTGTCGTAAATGTTTAGCACAATTAATAACAACACGTTTTGCTACACCGGGTGAATATCTTGTTAATCAAGGTGATGCATTACAATTTATTTATTTTGTCTGTAGTGGTTCATTAGAAATACTTGGTGAAGAAGGTACAGTTGTTGGATTATTAGGTAAGTTTTATTTTTATTTTTTTTTTTGTTCAAAAAAATACCTAGGTTAAACTTGATTATTCAAATAAATTGAATATTGAATAGAATGCTTATATATATATATATCTATGATATACTATTTAGTAATAGTTAGAATTATTGATGTTTCGTAACTTAATGTTAACCACTTCTTCAGAGAAGATATATATATTTATTTATATGTACATAATAGTAAAGTCTTGATATTTAATACTATCTCAGAGAGTTAAGAATAGAGATGAGTTACCTATTAACATTATATAAGTTTAAACAAAACTTATGATCTACTTCCTTCCTAGTGTTTTTTTGACTGGATTGTGAACATGATGAAAGCTCATAGGTCAACTTCAAACTCTGAATGATTCTACAGTTTATACTGAATGATGATAGGATTCTTCTTAGATTAAATAAACGTTAACATGATTCAATACTCAATAGTGTCAAATCATAAGTTACAATTAATGTATCAAAATGATATCCAGATTGAACAAATCTAAATGGAATTTTTAGAGTAAATTAGTCATATTTCCTAGTATGAAGACCTATGATACAAAATATCAATAATTCCAGTAAAAGATAACGTCATAGCATTCAATTTTCAGAATACTTTCCGTCATTACTACAATTTAAATGGTATTGAGAACTTGTTTGTATCTCATTTGAGATTACTTAAAGAAATACAAGCAACCAATCAGAAACATAACTGATTTTAAAGAACTTCTGTTCTTCATTAATGAATTAAAGAAATTCAACTTCTATTAAGTGGCTTATATAATTTTGTAAACAATGTAAATGATTTAATGATATAAACGACAATCGGGAAATATTCAGATTCTGGATCATGAAAACGTCAAGAACTGGGGGGAGGCATGGCATATAGTGGATAGCTAGGATGCAATTGGAAGATCTAGACTTCGCAGATGATACGGTTCTTCTATCGCAAACACAACAACAAATGCAGGAGAAAACAATCAGTGTAACAGCAGCCACAGCAGCAAAAGTCACAACATACACAAAGGAAAAAGCAACATTCTCCGATACAACACAACATGCACCAATCCAATCACAATTGACGGAGAAGCTTTGGAAGATGTAAAAACCTTTACATATTTGGGCAGTATCATCGATGAACACGGTGGATCGGATACACATGTGAATGCGCAGATTGGCAAACAAAGAATAACATATCTACAAATGATTAACAACTGGAACTCAAAACAACTGCCTTCAAGCCAACACCAAAGTCAGAATTTTCAATACAAATATCAGCACACCTCTATTGTATGGAGCGGAAACATGGAGAACTACGAAATTCATCATCCAAAAGATACATTTGTTGATGCAAAATACTTCGGATACACTGAATAGACACAATCAGCCACAACGTATCATGGGAGAGAACAAGCGGAGGAAGAAGTCAGCAACGATCTCTGTAAGTGGACAGGACACATATTGAGGAAAGCACCCAACTGAGTCACAAGACAAGCCCTCATTTGGAATCATCAAGGTCAAAGTAGGAAAAGGAAACCAAAGAACACATTACGTTGGGAATCGGAGATAGACATGAGAAAAACGAACGAGAATTGGATGGAACTAGAAAAGAAGGCCCAGGAAAGAGTAGGTTGAATAATGCTGGTCGGTGGCTTATACTCCATTGGGTGTAACAGACGTAAGTAATTAATATGGTATGGGCTACTTAAGTCGGCAGTTATAAGTAGTATTTAACACTAATCAGAATTAGAAAACCTAGCAACAAAAGGCTGAGAAAATGGAGTTGTAAATCGTCATTTGGGAAATTTATACCGAATGTGAAGTTCAAGTTGTGGAAATTTACAAATGCATTACATAATGTATATAGTCCCCATATTTTATTAAAATATTCTATACTTTTGTCATTTATTCATGGATGTACCGTCTAATTTAAATTTACTTCATTATATAACATTTAATTTTTAACTATGTGAAATTCAAGCTGACTTAAACATTTGATGTGAATATTTTTAACGAATATTACTATACTACTTAAATAAATTATTCTTTTAAGTTAACACATTAACATGTGACTTTAGTTGTATGAACTTTATTCAATAATAAATTACATGTTGTTTTTCACGGTAAACTAAATCATGTTCTGTATTAGTATAGAAAATTGTTTAATGTCTGTTTAACAGGAAAACATGGGAGCACTGGATAGCTGTTTTCATCCTATTATGGGACTACTTAGCAGTGCGCATAAACAGTCTGGCCTAGTGAGATTCAAACCCAGAAGCTATCAATCTTGCACGCAAACACTTAACCTCTAGCTTTCTAGATGAAACGGTTGTCCAGTCCTTCCAAGCTTTCTGTGGTGGTCTGGCTTTAATTGACTGATGATTTCAACTATAAAAACTATTATAATATCTACGAAATAACCGTTCTGATACTAATTCATTTTTGTCAATAATATTTATCTACTTACAAGTAGTATAGATTTTGAGAAATTTTTAAATTCAGTGCCGTAGTTACTATTCAATAAAACTGAAAATTTCTTATCACTATCATCTGAAAGTATGCAACTTTTCTTCACTTAATTTATCCAGTTACTAAAAATCAAATTTGAAGTTTCTGAAAATTATACACCATTTATGTTTTCCGTTTGTTCCTTCCTTCCCTACGCCTGTTACTCCCAGTGAATCATAGGCTGCCGACCAGTATTCGCCAACCCACTCTGTCGTGCGCCTTCTTTTCAACTTATATCCAATTGTTATTAATTCTCCTCACGTCTGTTTCCATTTCTCGACGTAATGTGTTCCTTGGTATCCCTTTCCTCCTTTGACCTTGATGATTCCAAATGACGGCTTGTATTGTGACTCAGTTGGGTGCTTTCATCAACGTATGTCCAATACACTTCCAACGCTTCTTCCTGATTTCTTCCTCCACTGGGATGTGGTTTGTTCTCTCCCATGATACGTTGTGGCTGATTGTGTCTATTCAGTGTATCCGAAGTATTTTGCGTCAACAAATGTATCTTCTGGATGATGACTTTCGTAGTTCTCCATGTTTCCGCTCCATACAATAGAGGTGTGCTGATATTTGTATTGAAAATTCTGACTTTGGTGTTGGCTTGAAGGCAGTTGTTCTGAGTTCCAGTTGTTAATCATTTGTAGATATGTTATTCTTTGTTCGCCAATCTGCGCATTCATATGTGCATCCGAACCACCGTGTTCATCAGTGATGCTGCCCAAATATGTAAAGGTTTTTACATCTTCCGTAGCTTCTCCATCAAGTGTGATTGGATTGGTGCATGTTGTGTTGTATCGGAGAATGTTGCTTTTTCCTTTGTGTATGTTGTGACTTTTGCTGCTGTGGCTGCTGTTACACTGGTTGTTTTCTCCTGCATTTGTTGTTGTGTTTGCGATAGAAGAACCGTATCATCTGCGATGTCTAGATCTTCCAATTGCATCCTAGCTGTCCACTGTATCCCGTGCTTCCATTCAGATGTTGACATCTTCATGATCCAGTCGATTACCAGGAGAAAGAGAAAGGATGAGAGTAAGCAACCTTGCCTGACACCGGTCTTTATCTTTAACGTGTCTGTCAACTGTCCTCCATGCATGATTTTGCAGTTTAATCCATCATAGGAATTCTATATGATATTGACTATCTTCTGAGGCACACCGTAGTGTCGAAGAACAAAGATTGTTGCAGAATAATAAATGGATTCATTTTATTTCGTTAGGTTCTCATCAGCTGTTTACAATCTATTTCATATTCTCAAATCAATGTTATTACCGATATTGACATACTTATACAGAAGAGGGTGATGAAGGATGAATATATGTTTATCCTGATGTATTGAAGATTCATATAGAATTAATGAGGTCTTAAAAATTGTTTGTTTCGAATGAATTCAGTTTGAGAGTGAAGGTTCCAGAACATTGAAATAGTGATTAGAACTTATGGAATTAAAAAACAAACACATTAGATGATTATGTAATGAAGTAACTGAAAATAGATTAATGGTAATATAACGAAAGATATGAATTGAGATCAGTCAGTTATGAATGATGTCATTTTAAAAATTCAGAAAGATTTGAAATAATGAATGACGTAATAAGCAAATAAATAATGGTGGGGGTTAATGTTACCAGGGAAAAGAAAGATTTATTACTGTTTCTTTTTGTATACATAGATCTGATTTTACATGTTTGATTTCTATCGCTTCGGCACATTTCAAAAGTTTTAAGCTTGATTGTTTGTTAATCACCTTGAATGACTTCAGTGTATTGACTTCGTGTCCTGTATCAAGGAGATGTCTTGCGATAAGGCTACTGAATGCTTTTAGTCTATTTGATCTCAAACCCCCTCTGATTCAAACAACATATTCCGAAGGGTTTAAGATCAAACGGACTAAAAGCATTCAGCAGCGCTATCACAAGACATCTCCTTGACACAGGACACGAAGTCAATACACTGAATTCATTCAAGGTGATTAACAAACAATCAAATTCAAACCTTCTGAAATTTGTCGAAGCGATAGCAATCAAGCGTTTAAAACCAGATCTTTGTATGCAAAAAGAAACAGTAATAAATCTTTCTTTGCCCTGGTAACATTACGCCCCCCCCCATTTTTTATTTATTACGTCATTCCAACTCTTTCTGAATAATAAAGGGAACTATGTATATGAAACTTAATTTCTTATTCTTTCATTCATCTCTTTTCTTCTTTCCATTTTTATCATTATTATAATCTTAGGTAAATGTGATATATTTGGTAGTGATATGGATGATTTGCCTATATTGGGATATTCAGCTTATAATGTTAAATCATTGACATATTGTGAATTACAATGTATAGCATTAGATCATCAATTACAAGAAATATTTGATCAATATCCACAATTTCGAAAACAATTTGCTTTAGCAATTTCAGAAGAATTATCATTTAATTTAAGAGCTGGATTCGAACCAACTGTGAGTTCTTTATTTATTAATTTATATTTACATACAAAGAAGTGTATCATTCAATGTTATCAGTAATAATTATTCTATTTAGTAATTGAATTCATGAGTGCATTGAAGTAGGTTCGTCCTACTGTGGGACTCCTCTACGATCCCACCTCGCGAGATTGAACGCAGGACCATTGAGCCGGCTATCTTCAATCAGGACTGATAGGGTCTTGGGTTTGAATCTTGCAATGCGGTATCGTGGATGTACACTACTAAGGAGTCTCATAATAGGATGAAACGGCTATCCAGTGCTTAGGGGTTTTCCATTGTGGTCTAGCTTTAATTGACTCATGAATTCAATTATTCTTGATATGACTGTATTTTATCATTACTTATAAATACCTAATGGAAATTTTGTCACGTGTCTTAAAGTATGGTTAATGTTTAGTCGAATGGATTGTGAAAGTGCGATCAGTATGAATAGAGAATTTTCATAACAATTTTAAAATGTCATGGAATTATTGGAATTACCGAAATGTAATAAGTGGAATAGGCAATGAAATTATGCTATAATTGTATTTCCAACAATATATCTGCTATTATTTTTATTTCCCAAGTCCTATGTTTATCAATTTTTCGTGAACATTCATAAATAGACCAATAATCTTATTCATCAGTATAGGGGTTATGGAGATTATTAAGTTTTTAATTGAGATCACGAACCACTTGATGTTAGACCATCGTTGGAAACCTGGAAGCACTGGACGGTCGTTTCGTCCTATTGTGGGACTTCTCAGCAGTGTGCATCCACGATACTGCCTCGCGGGGTTCGAACCCAGGGCCTTCAGTTTCGCGCGCGAACGCTTAACCTACTACACCAATGAGCCGGCCAGCATCCAATGGTGTTAGTGTCTAACATAAACAAATCCTCATTTTCCATTGTATTGATGTACATACCTGTCTCTACCCAACACGGATTAGCTCCACTGGTCACGGCTTCTCACTAGAACTTCGAGAATTCCCTCACGAAGCTAGTCACTAGTAAGTACATGTTAACTAACATTATAGGGGTTATTTTATCCAATTGTTATTAGGAGTTCTGTGAATAAGGAAATGATCTATAAGAACAATAAATCTACACCTACAAACTGAATATATTGACCATTGAATCAATGAACATTACTACAATTAATATATAATTTTCATTCCTACTAAATCTTTTAAATATAACTGTGAATAACCTGTAAAGTTTATTCATCCAAAAAATTGATAAAGTTAAATTAAACTACTATTAACCACTAATTTCAAACTATCTTTAATCCTTAAAATACCATATAGGGTCAATACATACATTAAATGGTGGTAAGTTCCTACTTGTCTCCATTTGACATCGGCATTTTCGTCATAGGTTTATTATTCTCTTTTTTGCGGCGGAGGGGGGGGGTGAATTCCTTTTCTAACTTTTTTATGATCATTGATCTCCAAGTGACCTAATAACATCCATTTTGAGAATCAAATACAACTGGTCAACTGGAAATATCATATATAACACATAAGTAATCAGATTCCAGATGACATAATTAGCCTTTGAGCTATGGTAAAACAACTTACTTAAAAAGCTGCCTAAATTTTTAGATCATTTAAAACCTGAACAGTTTACTTGAATATATAGGAATAGTCATGAACTACTTAATCAATCGACAAACTGATTAAAAGTTGTTTTCGTTCATTCAAAATATCTCTAGTAACATTATAATTTTGAAATGATCACGTAAAGCATCTACTCAGGTTTTGAAATATTAAAAATGCTTTCAATCAACGTTATGGAACCCATAGGAGTTCCAAGCGGAGTTATGGTGAATTTTAGTTTTGTCTTAAACAATTTTGTATCTTCTATGGAATATAATCTTATGATCAGGCTACCTTATGATCACACTACGTTTGTGCTATTTTCTGAAGATTTAGAATGATTTATCCTGGAATTTTACAATCAGTTGTCTGTATGTCTTTTCAACATACACAACCTCATAGTCGGTATATATGATATTCTAGACATGATTTTATAGCTACTTCTTTAGTGAATTTTCGGAAACATTATCGCTGGTATCGTTATGACGGATGGTAACATTATAAATTACCTATTCTTAATAAGAGACCTGTAGTGAAATATATTTTTTTGAGTACACACTAGAACTCACAAGTGTATCGATCCATATTATATTCATAGATTTCTATCAGTTACAATAACATGACCTTGGTTCTATATGTAATAACACCGGAACAACAGAATGTTAGGGATGATCAATCACCAGAAATCAATTAGTAAACGTCTTATTTATGAAAATATGAGTTTCTCATTTTCGCATCAAAAACACTTACATTTACCTTCAGTTTGTATTACCCACTTAAAAAGACACCTTAAATTTCATTTGGTTTGTTCCCTCTTTTAATACGCTATTTTATGACGTTCCCTAAGGACATTTTTATACTGTTTATGTGTACATGAGTTGTATACTTGTTCATTCATACTTCTGACTGCTTGTGGAATATACATCTTATCATCATCATCATCATCATCATCATCATCATCATCATCATCATCATCATCATCATCATCATCATCATCATCATCATCATCATCATCATCATCATCATCATCATCATCATCATCATCATCATCATCATCATCATCATCATCATCATCATCATCATCATCATCATCATCATCATCATCATCATTGTTTACTGCCTACGCATATATTCATTCTGCTAGCTTTATTATCAGCTGCTTAATTGATTCCATGGTCCATTCATTTCCCTATATATATATATATATATATATATATATATATATATATATATATATATATATATATATATATATATATATTTAACACTCGACACTTTCTCGGTTCTCTGACTCATTCATTAGCCTCTCTACTTTGTAATTCGAGTTATCTGCTAATAAAACTGTAGTCTCTGCTTCTCTTTACCTTCTGATTTCAAACTCCGTTGAGGATTATATAGGTAATGGTTATGAGGGTGATTGATTAACGAAGCACAACCACCACAATATAAATATAAAGCGAAACAAAACTCTCTTATTTATAATCCTTACCAAACTTCATTTTTGTAATTTCATTCTTGTTTTGTTTATTTAGTCATCTTTAGAACTGATTCCAGCAATAACTGTCACTACTGATAAGAATACAGATTTTGAAGATCATTCCGATGATGATATCAGTAATAAATCTCATGAAATAATAAATGAAGAATCTACTTTATTAACTAATTCACAGAATAAAACATCAATGAACAAGAAAGACAATGATAATGACAATGATGATGATAATGATGATGATGATGATGATGATGATGATGATGATGATGATGATGATGATGATGATGATGATGATGATGATGATGATGATGATGACGATGATGATGATAGGACTATAACCCACGAAACAGGTAAACAATTATTTGATATAAAAACAAAAAAATTAACAAATTTAAAAAATTCTATAAACAACAATCGTCATGACAACCAATTCAATAATAAACAAATAAAAATATTGGAAGATTTAAATTCTTCACAAAAAATAAAAAAATTTATTCATATAAAACAAAATTCATTAGATTTATATACAAAACAATTGAATAATACTACATCCATTGAACAATTGAGTCAGTTTGATGAAACAAACAACATTAATTATACTAATACTAATACTACTACTACTATTACTACGACTACTAATCATAATAGTAATAATAGTAGTAATAATAATAATAATAATTGGGATAATAATGAATATCAGAAGAGGTTTTACTTTCATGATCCAATTATAAATTCATCTAATTCATTTGATAATCTTATGGATGCATCTAAAATGAATAATACAATATTATACTTAAAAGATAAATATAAATCATTTGATGATATTTATCATATTGGTAAATCATTTAAAACTGATATTAGAAATCAATATATGTAAGTTAATTGATTTGAATGAATGAATGAATGAATTAAAGATGATTGATTAAGATTATAATTTATAGATGTGTAGCGTGGGGTTGAGTCGCAATTGACTATGAACACCACTACAAGAAGACTACGTACCAGTTAACCCATAAGATCTCCGTAGGTCATTATCAGAAGGCAGAGGACGGCTGTAGTCGAGAATTATTTGTTGGCAATCTCGTGGTATCGAAAGAATACCGAGATCGTGCCAAAGGAATAGAAGAGTGATTACTTTCGGCGGCCTGCTTGAATATCTGGGCTACCTGTTCCTCCCATCTAGATATTTCGTCAAGTTATCTGTTTTCTTGTTTGTTTTAACACACTATTATGTCTATTGAGCTCACAACCTATTCAGGCGCGTCTACGAAAAGTTTACAACCTTTCGCTGTACGGATTACAAAAAGGTACAACCAGCGACATCATGGTGGTTTGCAATATGCATTGAAACGAATGAACATTATTCAGATGTCGATTATCGAACTCCTAACATCTAACTGGCCATCACTTAATATTTATCGTCAGTATCGATCAAGATATAAGAAAAGGAAACTTGTTGAAATACTTTATGCTGAGAATTCAATAGTGTACCACAAATATAATGTTGAATAAAGCTTATAATAATAATAATAATAAGCGTAACCGAATTCGTACAAGTTCAAAGTCAACGGGAGAGTAATATGGCTGTCATTATCACAGTTAAAAAAACGAGCACAGTAAAACAATCACTGGTACAATTGGTTATAATAATAATAATAATTGTTTTCATTGAACCAATCGCGTTCTGTTGACAAAAGTAGGTCACTACAGATGAGTTCATCAAGTATAAGATAATAGGTCTCGAATGTTTGGTTGCGAAATTCATTCATCCATTTTGGTGGTTAAATAGAGTTTTGCCATTCATAATTGATGACAGTTCGTGATGAAACCTTTAAATCTTATTTTTAACCTTTATCATCAACTGTAAATCATAATTCGAATTCCTCATATATGTTTATAGTCTTCATTTGGTCATAGTTATCAGGTGGATACTCTGAAGGTCACTTGAATATCGCTTAAGGATTGTCCATAAATCATAGTCTCATCAAAATTTTCTTCTCAAATATCTTTTGTTTATCCAGATTTGAAATGTTGAAGTTATTTAGTGCTAGATGAAGGAATTCAACATTTAGAATATAAGTCATAAGTAGTCTGTTCGATTAACCCATAAACTGAGTTCATAAAACAAAGGGTATATTATTTTAAGCAAAGATAGATAGTAGCTATTAGTGGAATACAGGAGGCGCGTTTCGTCCTATTTGGGACTTGTTAGCTGGATGTACCTGAATCTCAGAGTTAGTGTTTAAACTTCACCCCATCGCACAAGTTGGTGGCTATCAGGAGTCAGTAGTTAATTGGATAATGCGATAATGTTTAAAGCGAACGGTGTTGAGTTTGACTCCCAGAGTAAACATCAATTCTGAGGTGCTGGTATATCCAGTCTCCACGACCAAACCATCCAGCTCAGAGAACAAGTCCATCAAAATCTTGTCAGCCACTATCCATATTTTGTTTAAAAAGCTTAAGACTTAAGGCTATATCAAGATAATCTGCACAGAATGCACATATGTTAGCATAAGACTGATCAATTGAAGTCCTAAATAACAATAGGAAAACACAAGCAAAACAAAACGAAGTGAATTTCTGATTATGGTGAGAAATAGACAAGATTTAAGTCAATAATAAATCGTAGATGTGCAATGATGAGGAGTCCCACAATAGAACGAAACCGCCGTTCAGTGCTACCATGGTTGTCTAGCTTCAGTTGACTCATGAATTCAATTACTAAACTAATAATCAATAAAGTAATCAGGACTGAAAGTCGTGTAAAATATCGGTAACTACAGATTTTATCGTATATCTTTATCGACTTAACTCATGTTGGTGTATAACGCAATTAAATAAGTCAAATGCAAGAATGGATATATATATATATAGTGGCTAACAAGATTTTGATGGAGTTTTGTTCTCTGAGCTGGATGGTTTGGTCTTGAAGCTTTCATCATTCTTCTGAACGACATCATCAGCGCAAACTTCGAATAGAAGTGAAGTGTTCGAATTTCTTTACATGTGGTTTACAGCTTGTCATGTACACCTTGATGTTGATTGGTTGTTGTTGATCTTAAACCTATCATCGTTTACTTGTGTACTTACGTCTGTAACTTCTCATCTAGGAGCATAGGCCTCCCATCAGCATTCTACATCCAACCGTCTCCTGGGCAATCCTTTCCAGTTTTTTCCAATTGATATTCTTCATTTTCATATCTGCTTCCAATTCCCGACGTAATGTGTTCTTTGACCTTCCTGTTTTCCACTTCCCTTCAGAATTTCATGTTAGGCCTTACCTCTTGATGCAGTTTAGTGATTTCCACAATGTATGTCCTATCCATTTCCAATATTTTTTCTTAATTTCCTCTTCAAATGAAAGTTGGTTTGTTCTCTTCCATAATAGTTTGTTGCTAATGGTCAATGTACATTCAGTATCTTTCATAGACAACTATTTATAAATATTTATATCTTATTGATGAAGAATTATATCATAACCGTAGCTTCCCCATATATTATATCAAACTTGTAATTCATTGAAAAATTTAATCATTACATAACTACACTTCACTTCTATCTAAAAGTTTGTGCTGATAATGTGGTTCACAAGAATAATGAAAGCTCCACAACCAAATCATCCAGCTCAAAGAATAAAACTCCATCAAAATCATCCATCTGAGCTACAAATCTTCTCCATCCATCTTAAAATCCAAATAAAGTCAGATCTCGAACCACTAAATATATAATTCAATTTCTTAAACATTATCAATCATTTCTAATCAATTGAGTATATTTGTTTATACACTAATGATAATAATAAGTTTAAATAATAAATATTACACTTTTTATTTATTTTAACAGATTTAATACTGATAGTTACGGTCATGATGAAAATTACAATCAAATAAATGAGATATTCATTAATTCAAAGAACATTACCAATACTACTAACACTCCTCCTCCTCCTCCTCTTCCCCCTACTACTACTGCTACTACTCCTACTCCTCCTCCTCCTCCTCCTCCTTCTACTCCTACTACTGCTACTACTACTACTACTAATAATAATAATAATGATAAAGTAATAAAACAAAATCAGCTGATTTCAACCCTTTGTATGAATTTCTATCAAGCACAAAATGATATTACTTTAATTAAATCAGAATTAATACAAATGAATCAAAAACTTGATAGAATACAAAAAGATTTTAATGAATTTACTCAATATTTTATAAGAAATGATAATTCATTGAATCATCCATCAATATATCCCAATACTTCTAATAATAGTAATAGTAATAATAATAATAATATATAATGAGAAACGATTAAAAACGATATATTCAGTTACTGAAAATGATACTATCTCTTCAACACAAACAAACATTGCTCATAGTAACAATAATAATAATAATAATAATAATAATAATAATAATAGCAGTATGAATAGTAATAATAATAATAATAATAAAAATGTAAAAGATGGTTCATGTACTTCTAAATCTATTATACCAACAACATTAATTAATTCCCGTCCATGTTTACATCAATATGGTAGAACACATCATTATTCACCAGAGAATCGTGTCGTAACATTTCAATTACCACCACGTAATTATGATTTTCGTAGTCAAAGTTTAACTAATTCACGACAAATTTCACCTGAAACACCAAAATCTAATCCAATTAAAAAATTATTACATAAACATTCATCTATATCACATGATCTTAATTAAAATAGATTGTAATTTCAATATTACATATATATATATATATATATATATATATATATATATATATATATATATATATATATATATATATACTCATGTTGTATTACTTACTTACTTACTTACGCCTGTTACTCCTCGTGAAGGAGCATAGGCCGCTCACCAGCATTCTCCATCCAACCCTGTCCTGGGCAATCCTTTCAAGCTCTTTCCAGTTCTTATTCATCTTTTTCATATCTGCTTCTATTTCCCGACGTAATGTGTTCTTTGGCCTTCCTCTTTTCCGCTTCCCTTCAGGATTCCAAGTTAGCGCTTGCCTCGTAATGCAGTTTGATGATTTCCTCAATGTATGTCCTATCCATTTCCATCGTCTTTTCCTAATTTCCTCTTCAGCTGGAAGCTGGTTGGTTCTCTCCCACAAAAGGCTGTTGCACTCATGTTGTATACATTCACTAAAACACTACACATTCACTTCTATCTAAATGGGTTTCTTTTTTTCTCCTGTTTTTTTTTCAGATATAATTTTTCTTTTGTATTTTCTATCATTTTCTTGTTATTTCTATTCATGTACAAGAAGAAGAATTGAAGAGAAGAATTTGCATTGACTGTAACGTTTCTCAATGTAACTTTATATGTTTATTCACTGATTCACCTAATTTTCTATGTGTGTCTGTGTGTGTGTATGTATGTATGTATGTATGTAAGTGAATGAATGTTTCATTGTTATCAAACAAGATGTACAAATCATTAATATAATTCTATCATGTTATGATGTAGTTACAATTAACATATATCTCCTTGTCCTCCACCTCCCCCTCAACAACAACAACAACAACAACAACAACAAAAGTTGTTTTGTATACTTCATAACTTCAACTTATTTTTTATTGATAAACACTTTACTTTTTATTCTCTTTTAAAGAAAAAAAAGAAAAAGAAAAAGAAGAAAAAAAAGAAATATATATATATGTATACAAAAACATACATTTTTCTTGTATTTTGATTTATGTGTATATTTATTAAACATGCATAAAAGTGAATAAACCACCACATTTCAATGTTCAATATCTTTAATGATAAAAATGATGAGAAGTAATTTTTGAAAAAAACAAACAAGAAGAACAAAGAGAAAAGAAAAGAAAAAAGAAAATAACAAAGAGAATGTAGTTAATTAGATTGTATTATTATTATTATTATTATTATTATTATTGTTATTAATATTGAGTTTGATTAATTTACATTTTGGGGGAATTCATTCTATTTTGTAGATTTGAATAAAATATATTTTTTTAAATATAAATTCCATAAAAATATAGGTTTTTTTGGTTTATTTACATGTTTCTCAGATAATGTTAGTTACTGTAAAGGTAAAGTTAAACTCTTCTCAATATTTCAGCTAAGCTCCCCCAAATGCTCTAGTAGGGTGGAGGTTGGGGAGAGTCCTCTCTCTCTCTTTATCGAAATACCCTCACATGGCCATGCGTATATAGTCTCTGCTAGGGAAGTCCTACTCACTGCCTTCGCGTGTTGGGCATATGGGTTTCAGTATCATAAAGGAATAAATGGCGTATGAACCAATATTTGGTCCCCTAAGAAAACTACCTGCTTCGGTTCAGGCACTTAGGCAGTATCACAACCTTCACACAAAGCAAATATGATTTGTATGGCTCATATGTATCTGGTGCTCCCTTGTACCAGTATTTATGTGTTCAAATAAATAAATAATTTCAGTTAAGCACATTAAACACTTACTGTTTGTACAATATATATAATGCTTTAAATAATGACAGATGACGTCTGTGATAGTATTGGAAATCATTGACTGAATAGTGGGCATTTGGTTCCAAGTCCTTAAAATTTAAGCTTTAATCTATCAACAGCACACAAAAGGTAGATATAGTAAATTGAAAATATTTACAATTCACAGATCATTAACTAGTGACCATTATTATTATTATTATTATTATTATTATTATTATTACTGTTATTATTAATGGCTTTATTCAATATTATATTTTGGTACAATATAGAATTCTCAGCACACTGTATTTCATTGGTCATTTCTCAATGATCAATCAACTGTAAATATATCTCAGTCCTGAAGCTGGGTGACATTTGACTGAGTTCGCCAGGGACCATAACTTCCCTCAAAATTATAGTCACATCTAGCTTACAAGTGTCATGTAGGACGAAACTTATGTTCAGGGTTCACAGTCACCCACCTTCAACCACCATCTAAAATGAACATTTTACTAAGTGATAGAATAAGATTTTTTACTACTGAATATAGAATAATGATGCACATGAATAAAATTTGCTTAACTGAATATAATATTGTAGTGAACAGAACACCAGTGGGTACAATCGAATGTATTTGACACGAAATTACAGAGCATCTCAATAAAATCTGTGAACCATATAGTAAATATTTCATTTGAAAAATATCAATCCGTCGTCTCAAACTTGACATTTCCTTTTACAAATATCAGTCCATTGTCTCAGATTTCATTGTTCAGGTATTATCATACCAATTGAGTTCCGTTTCCGTTCTTTCTTTATCGATCTTCTGCTGAGATACATTCTATGCCCCACCACCGTTATATACTACATATATGGATATAAGTAACCCACATCACAATATGAAATAGCCCGTTTTAGGCCAAATAAACCAAATACTGACGTATAATTCACTTAGCCTATAATAAACATCTTCAAAAGTTTATTTCTTTTTACAGTTGCAAAATGATGTGGTTTACACTGTTTAATTAACTTCATCTGTCATAATAGATACTTAGGATCATTCCTATCTAAAATTGAAATTATTCTATTTAAGTAGTATTTGTCGAGATTGTGCGACTTTTACTTAGGACTGTAGTAAAATATTTATTATACAAAATGATTGTTCATTATGTACTTCTTAAACTGTAGTACCATATGTACTACACATAATAATATAATTTATTGGTTGTCAATAAGTTATGATTATGAAACGTATAGGATAGAATTTATGCATTAACTAGTGTGATTTTGTAGAACAGAAAAGTTTCCAGAAATTTACAACTATCACACTGTAGTGTGTGCTACTTTCATCGACATAAGTAGTATATAAAGCTTGTCAAGAATAGAATGTCTAACAGCAGATGGTCGAGAAGATCGGAAAGGAAAGAACGGGGACAGAAATCAATTGGTATGGGAATAAACGAACACTGAAGTCTAAGACGATTGACTGATATTTGCAAAGGAGCGTACAAGTTTAAGACAATCGATTGAGATTTCACAAATTAAGTATTTACTGTATGATTATCAGATATTACTAAGACTTTCCGTAATTTTGTGATCAAATGCATCCGATAATCCCCATGTGTGTTCTCGTTCACTACAACACAATATTGTATATTTACTTCTTTGTACAAAAGAATATTAAAATCGATGTAAAACTATATAACTATAGAAAACCAGATTCATCGTTAACTAATTTTCCCGTATATTCGTATCAGTAAAATTTGAAGATCATTTCAGTTTTGATCCTGAACTTTAAAAATAATGTAGATTAAATATAATAACATATAATATAATAACAACGTTGGATGCCGGTTCAGTCGTCCAGAGATTGAACGTTCGCGTGCATGACCGAAGGTTCTGGGTTCGAGCGCCATATGCGAGATCGTGAATACGCACTGCTGAGTCGTCTCATTCTAGAATGAAACTGTCTCTCAATGCTTTCAGGTTTTCTTTGGTGGTCTAGCTTTGATTGACTTGTGAATTCAACTGTTAAAGTACTACAATCTCCACAAATCCCTATACTGATACTAAAAGAAGTTAATACTTTGATGAATACAAACATTTTTAATGAACATAATTGTATATTCATTTTAGAATACGATATCTAACTGAGCATGTAACTATCAAATACATTAGCTCAATTCTATTGGTTAAATTGTGCTCAATTGTATGATTAATTTGAATACCCTTATATGAGAATTTCTCCAATATTCCTTTGTTTGGTTGTTAGTCTATTTATATATTGATTATATTCTCTTATTATATTAATTTACAAATACTTGAGACACTTTGAATAATTGACACCATGGACAGTCTGTATTGATTTCCATACAATACCGATTTAGCTAATCTAATGTAGAGTTCTGTCATCATTTCACTACAATGCAATTGTTGGTTATTCTATTGTCAGTGTTATGTTTATTCTAATACAATTGCTGGTGTTTATAGATGATAGTGCCAAAATAAATTCAATTCAATTATAAAGAGGTTTAATTCTGGTATTAATTCAATGTTATTGTTCCAGTCCAGTTAAGTTCATTGAATTCAATTACAGAAACAGATATATAAAAATAATTTATATTCTAGTTCTTAGTTAATTCATTTGTCCTCTACTATTGTTCATAATGATAACGAATATAAAAGTTAAATTATCAGTAGGCATACTAACAAAATAAAAATCGAAAATTGAAACAAAAGAGTAAGTTTCTAGTTCTATTGATTAATTAATTTTTCAATAGTTGAAATCATGAGTTAATTGAAGCTAGACTACAATGAAAAACCTGAAAGTACTGGACGGCTGAAACTGGATGGATATAACTGTCCTTCAGTGCTTTCAGGTTTTCCATGATGGTCTAGCTTCAATTGACTCATGATTTCAACTACTGAAATTATTAAAATCTTTACAAAACACCTTCTGATATTTGATTTTTATTAAAGTAACCATTAGACTGTTTATTACTAAAATAACTGGTGACCATTTATTTCGATTAAATTTTATGTTTCAGTCTCTATAATTTCTTCGTTTAAAATTTCATTTTCATTTAGTTTGTCCTCATTTAGATTAGACGATGTTTGTTGACGGGCTCTCCACTTTAGTAACCCGGTATCTGACTTCAAGTAGATCACATGAATGATCGTTGTTGAAATATATATGTTGCTTATCCTCGTATATAATCATCGACTTAAATCGCGTTAGTCAATAACGGAATTAAATAAGTCGAATA